TTTATTTAAAAAATACTAAATACAATTAAATTTTCCAGGCAAATTTGCCTGGAATACAGTTTAAGGGATAATAATAAGTATTAAATAAGTAATTAATTTTAATATTTATTGTATACTATAATAATAAATATTAAATAAGTAATTAATTGTCCAGAGCGTAATGACGGACCCTTAGTATCTACGCAAAGTGATACAAAATTTACGTTTTTGATGCATTTTGATCAAAAAAAGTATCTTTTTTGATGCATCTTTGTAAATCTTGTGCAAATCAGATCAAAGATGTAACTTTGAAATTTTTTGTCCGTCCGCACGCGTGTCGCGTAATTAACTCCAGTAAAAACCAAGAACAAAAACAAAAACAAAAATCTATCATATTGTAAATCTGTTTCAATACAGCAATACCTTTTAAAACATTAAAACAGTAAGAATAAAAAACCTATTACTGCCGTTTTAATATCTACATTTGTGCAACTACTTTGTCCAATAAACTTGATCATTCCAGGTGAACCGCTTGGAATTTATCATTTATTAGTCTCACACTGTAATACCTAAACCTTCAAACACTACACGCAGGTAAAAAATCAAGCTAACTGACACTTTTTAAGTATAATTGCTACCGCATGCAGCGATCTATATCACAAAACGGTTTGAACAGATCAAAACTCTGATTTTATTGCCAGAATGCTTTAATAATTAAGACAGTACACACGTATGTATTTTGTAGTGTTATACTTTTTTAAAAAAATATATTCATTAAACATATTTCTTTACTTCCAATTCTCACTTAGGTTCTTTTGATTTTGGCTAGAATTATTATGCTGCACTGCACTAAATCCACAATTAATTAAAACTTATGAATAAGGCTTACGATTATATTTTTATTAATATGAGCGCTGCCAAGGGAAAACCTGACATTGGGCTCTCAATTATATCCTATGTCCGGTTTGTTCCAGAGCACTATCTTAGAAAAATCTATCAACGAGTTTAATTAATTCTATTTGTACCGGTATAATTAAAAGCTCAATCATAGATTTTCTTTAGACAGCATTCTGGAACCAGACTGAACACAAGATATAACTGAAAGCCCAATATCAAGTTTTTCTTAGCAGCACTCATGTATGAATAATGCCAAGGAAAAAAAAGCCCCTTAGGTTAGATATTTGATTCAACCCTTCTGATCGATAACACATCGAGTTTAAATTAAAAATATAACGAGAAAAATTAATTGCGATATACAGTAATATATTATAATTTTGATCTTACATTTTATAATTTAAAACTCAATGTATTATTAATCAAAAGAGCTAAATCAGATAACTAACTGAAGTGGCCTTTTTTTCTTGGCAACACTTTGTATAAAGATGAAAATTATTTAGTAGTAGGATAACAAAAGTAATAAAATAGTAAGAGTTTATTTATTAATAATTATTATATTATTATTATAGTAATTTTTATTTAGGAATTAAAGAAACTAGTCACATTTCTTCCTCTTTTCTTTCTTGTATTCTTTTACAATTTAAAATCTGTTGAAGTCTTTCGAAATTAAATGGTCTAAAAACAATATCGTTAAGAGAATGTACTCGAGACACCGCTACAAAAGAAAGCCCAGCAGCAAATTCTTTGCTGCCAATATCTATTATAGCTTTTGGTAGTGTAAGGCCTTGGCTTTTGTGCACTGTAATAGCCTATGCAAGACGGATAGGAACTTGCAGACGTGAACATATCATTCCTGATTTGCTTTCCCACATGCATTGAATTGGCACAATTGGGACAACTTTTATGCCATTTACTGTACTTATAGTAGGTCCTACATAGTTGTCAAATGTAATAAAAACTGCTGTAGGATGTGAAGGCAGACTTTGATCTTCTTCAAACAAAATGTCTTGAATAGTTTCCATTGAACCATTAATTAATCCGGCTTCAGTTCACAGATTTGCGATTAACATAATATACGCATTTCTGCCTAACAATAATTCTCCCTCAAGACCACCTGCCATGTCCGAATCTGCATTTTTAGCTTCTTTACCGCCTCTCTGATGTACTGCAAGAATTTTTGCAACAGGAATGTTTAATGATCTTAGTTTATCAGTATTTATTAAATTAACTTCAGTCTACTTTGTCATAACGAACATAGCATCTAAGAATCGATTATATTCTGGTTTAGTTACTTTATTATCAAAACGTGTGCTAAGTGTTCTCCAGTCTGTAATCGTAGATTCACCATTGCGTAATCGTAAGAGAATATCTCTGAATTCCTTTTGTTCTTCAGAATCTCCAAACTGACGCTGAATAGTGTCGAGTTTATACACCTCCTGAAATTGTTTATATGCTACAATACCATCATTAGATAGTGTATCTCTTAAAACATTTGTGGTGTATATGGGATGATCAAGCACGGGAGGAAGCTGTCCAAAATCACCAAACAAGATAATTGATCTTCCACCAAAAGGTTCGTTTTTGTATTCAGGAAAAGCTTGACGTAACCGCAAATCAACCAGAGCAAGCATTCGATATCCGATCATACTCTTTTCGTCAATTATAAAGTAAATTACATTTTGTAACCTATTTTGTAAACAGTTCAATCGCTTACCGGTTATGTCGAGATTATTACCAATAGGTATTGGAATAGAAAGAACCGAATGAATTGTTTCCCTATTAATATTAAAGGCCGCAACACCCGTTAGAGCAAGTATTAACACGGGCAAATTGGATCTGTTTCCTGCCATTTCAAGAAGTCAACACCTGATTGCTCTGATTAGCAATGACTTTCCTGTACCAGCAGTTCCCATAACGATAATCTTAAGTGCTTCAACTTGACAACCCATAAGAATTCTATGGTAATGTGACTCTATTCGCCTAAAAATTGTCTTTTGTTTATCATTTAGAATCTCATAATCTATAACTTCAGTATTAGAGATTTCATTTCCTTCTATATCATTATTCGATTCATTATGATTAGATACTTTTTGCATGAAAGAGCTTGCTTCTCCGAGATCAGTATTAGAATAATATTGTCTAGCATCGTTAGTCCAGTCATGATTTCGATCAATATCATGACATCCAAGATCAGAAGAACAATTAAATACTGAATTAGGGCCCATTTTTGCCAGAAGCATCCAGTCAAATCGGCATTCGTCCCTTTCTTCATTTTCAAATTCTTCTTAACTTTCATCATCCGTCATTTCTCTCCTTTTATCATTATCTACGGGGGAGCCAAGTAAATCCATTAGATCGTTATTAATTTCTTCAGAATAGCGATTATATAGGACTGACCATGAAATTGTATTGTCTTGAGTTAGGAGTTAAATATCTTGATAGGGAACATGAAGAAGAACTTTCACGCGGCAGAACTCCTCCTATTCTTGTCCGTCTCGTAATGGTGATGGCCATGGCCAAACTCGTATAATGTTTTCTTTATTACATATTTTCCATTAATTTTTAGTAAGCTTATGTGTAAGGTATAACTTATATAATGAAAAACTTTCAAACTCAGGAGGTCTGTCCCAATAAATTTTTAAAGTAGATTGACTCATCCATCCAGCATTCTCGATTTCATTATAATTTTCATCATTGCTACCTGTACCATGAAGCCAACGAGGTGTCTCTTTATTAAGATTTAATGAAACAAAGGTACGGCTTGAATGATAAAAAGGAATTCCAAGAAGTAGATGACAAGTTTCTTGAGCAGATATATCGCGTTCAGCAAAACTATGAAGCAATAATTTTTGAACTGGGACAAGTAATCTATCAGTGGGGTTACTATTATTAAGTATTCGATCTAATATTTGTATAAAAGCCTCTGATCGTGGTTCTGCTTTACTTGCATATTTGGAAATATATTGTAGAGCCGCGTGAATACTGAGAATAGGTTTAAGATCGATGTTTGCTCTTCATCCTTGAAGTTGAATTTTGCTATGAGGATTAATATACGGGTCGTTTTTTGCCGTTACAAGTTCAGGATGGCCATGATTATCATTACACAAGAAAGTATAATTACTTTCTTCCTTAGGGAATCCGAATCTGCAAGATTGTTGTCCTTTACGGTTACGAAGGCAATACGAAGGACTACATCGTGTGTGTCGCTGCAATTTGTAACTAATTCGGTATAATCTTGTAAGTCATCGTTTAGTTCTTCATGATGTTTTTGGCATGGATGACAGTCAGAGATGGGGGCATCAGGTCCCGGGTTAATTGTAGTAACCAGAGAATCAATATATTTTATTATCTTTCTTAACGACTCATTATTATTTTTTAATTGTTCCCACTCAATTTTAGGACCATCTCTTATCTTTCCAATTCCATGTACCTGAACACTACCACGATGTTGCCATTCGAATCTATACCACCAATCTTCCAAATTCTATTTTTTAATTAACACGTCATTAAAAAAGCATTCGAACCGTTTATTAAAGAACCAAGTAGCAAGGTGAGGATTGTCAACGATGTTTTGATGATAATTTTCGTTAGACGGCATAAGTGCATGAAGTTCTGGCCAGTGTAGATCAGCAGCGCTAAATGTGAAAAATATTAAACCTTGTGAATCTAACTGTCTAATCATGTCTGACAACTCGCGACGTCTTGCATTCCAAAACTGTCTTGATCCACATATACCCAGACCAAATGTCATAATCCGATCTGCCATATATATATTACCATCAGCAATCATTTCCTGTATTTCTGCGACTGTAAGTTGGTTTTCGTTAAAATTCTGTTTAACGTATACTCTTCCTTCCTGTAGTGCTCGCCATCTCATCTGTGAATTAAGTGCGAAATACCGTCAACGTGTATGACGAGCAAACCTTCCATTACTATATAGCAATAAATGCTTAAAGTATTCAGCTGGTTTTATGTCTTTAATACATTCTGAACGAAGGTCGGCATGCCCAGTTGGATAAAGAGTTAGAAATGCACGTACAATATATCTAGATGTTTGAAATTCATTAATGGGATTGTTATCAATTCTTGGCCACTCAATCGTATCATTATTACTTAATAATCTATTAATTGTGTTATTTATAGCTACATCTTTCCGGCTATCTGAAGGCAAAAAGGGTACGAAGGTGTGTGTAATTACATTTTTGTCACTTTCTTTATTAAATTCGTCATCTGTTAATTGATTAATTCGAAGTTGATCATCAATAAAATCGTCTTCTGGTAGAAATTGAAGATTTTCATTGTCTATGGTAATGTCTGAATAATAATCATTGTTCTTCTTTAGCCAACGCAATGCACAAGTAACTTTATCTCGACGAACTCTAAAATCTCTAAAGGCTGTTGCATCTCTATCGGATTGCCGACGTATGATAAGCACATTCAATGAAGATGAATGCCGAGGAAGACAACTGGTAAATTCTTCTACATCTTGAGAGAAATTAATAATAATTCCTCTATATCCATGCTGTCCTTCACGAAGTCTGTAAATTACCATAATAGGAAACACTTGCGCAATCAACATCTCTTCAATTTCCGTAAGTCCTTGAAGCTCTTCGGATACTTCTCCTGGATCCATATTATTATCATATGAGAATTTTTTTGGCAAAGTTTTCTCATGATAACAACGACGACATTCTTCCACAACAAGAGTTAATGACGAAAAACATTCTTTGCATGTAGAGCAAAGTGTGTGTTTTAGCTTCTCTATTTTATTACGAAACCATCACAAAAAAACTTCATCATATGCGTCAAGAACTGCAGAAGGTGGTGTATAATTTTGAGATATATCAAATTCACATTGTAGATAATCATCTTGCACATCCAGTTCGTCCACACGCACATCAAATTCTGACCGGGAATCTTGGTTACTGTTATCTGTAAGACTTGCTTCAAGTTCTATAAGGTCTGCTTCAAATTTACGTAACATATTTTCTGCCCTTTTTTGCCATTTTCGTTCTCGTTCACGTGCAAGACGAATTTCACGTCGCTGAGGTGATTCATTTTTTCTACTTTTACGTTTTCTTAGAGTATCTCGTAAAACCAAACTTTCTCCTATTTCGTTTTCTTCACCCATTTGGTTTTCTTCCATCAAGCTTTCTTCCATTAGGCTTCCTTCCGTTGGGCTCTCTTCCGTCACGCTTTCTATCATTGAGCTTTCTATTATTGGACTTTCTATCATTGGGCTTCCTATCATTGGGCTTTCTATTATTGAGTTTTCTGCCATAGAATTTTCTTCCATTCTGATTTGTTTTTGTTATATTTTTAGATATTCTTTATAAAAATGCTATTTAATAAACAATATATATGTAAGTTATAAGGTAATTATTGGGATAAATTGCTTATTACTAAATTGCACTTTAATTAATGCTTATTACTAAATTGCACTTTAATTAATGCTTATTTTATTGTTATATTACCATTTAGTAATCAAAATTTTGTATTTTAAACTGAACTTTGCAGAAATATATTGAAGAAAACCGACGGCTTTTATAATTTTCTTATTATTTTACCTCATCTTTATTCTTGAAGTACATCTCATTTACATCTATTTTACTTAATTTTTTAGATAAATTTTAGCCTATTTTACCCTTAATCCATCATATTATTTTAATCTTTTGTGTCTAACGCGTCATATCTTCTACACGCGTCATATCTAATCTAATTATCTTGCCTTACTAACAATGTCATTACAAATAAAGGCTAAGTAATGCAAAAGAACTAAATTAAGCATATAGGTGGCGAAGTAAAACTACAAAACAGGAAATAAATAATGCACAGCTAAATTGTAAGGTACTGGATAGTAGCACAGGTAATATTATATTTGATTATTATTTATTTGTCTTCGAAATCATCTGTGCAAAGCATCACTTCCTAATATTCGAAACCTCTCGATATAGTAAAGATTATTGTGAAGATGGAGATTCGATATTATTAAGATTAGGGATTGTAGATATTCGATATTGTGAAGATTCGATATTGTGAAGATTCAATATTGTGATAAAGATTTGCTATCAAAATTATATCAAATGTAGATGATTATAATGTAGTAATTTAAGTTGGAGAAAAGCACTATGTAAGATTGTAAAGAACAGAAGAATTATTAAACTTCAACTCGATATGAGTGCGGGAGAGGGAAAAGGTCGCACTCATTTTTTTTAGTAAGTTATTGATTATTTATCTGATTCAGCCCTTCTGATTTACAGCATTTCGGGCATTAAATATATCTGATATCGATAATATCGATATTGGATATATTTAATGCCAATATGCTGTAAATCAGAAGGGCTGAATCGGATAAATAATCAATAACTTACTAAAAAAAATGAGTGCGCCTTTTTCCCTTTTTTGCACTCATATATATATTGATTTTTTAAAAATATAATAAAAAAAATAAACTGTATTTGGAATATATTTGAAATATATATGATTAAATTTTATTAGTTAATTCTTAAGTATTTTTTATAATTTGATTGGTTAATTTTTTAATTTACACTCTAGTGATGTATTGTATCGATAATAAATAATAATTTTTAAAATAAAATATATTAAATTTAATTTATTTTATAATAAATAATAAAATATTAATAAATATAAAATTTTAATAAAAATAAATATATATTATAATACTATAAATATATTTTAAATATAGTTTAAGTTTAAATTTTATGGTTTAGGAATTTTTGGTTTTGGGCAGAGATTATCTTGTTTTTCTTTATTCTGAATATGTTTTCGTACTTCATCAAAAAGATACCATTGTCGAGTTGCACTTAAACCAGGGAGAGGAATAATTTCTGGATTTGAATTAATATCTATAGAAAAATTTCTTTTTCGAATTTCAACTAATATTTTTTCACTATAAATAGACTTGCTTATTTCCACCTGTCCCTTATGCTCTTTACTAAAAATAAAATGATGTTGTTTTAAAATATTTGGTATAGTTGTAAAAAAATTTTTTAACCATTTAGTCCAATTATAAAAATATACTATTTGATTTCCCTTCTTATTAAAAATAGTTTGTGCTATATTATATTTATCTGTTGTTGAATTTTCAAGAACTTTAATTAAATCATCCAAATCATCAACTTCTGCTTTAGCAAGTGCTAATTTAAATAATCCAAAAAATGAATCTGGACTAAATTTTGTATGTCCAGCAACCATAAATGAATATTTAATTCTTTTATAATAGCCCATAATTACTCGCCATGCTAAATATGCTATTATTATATTGTTTTTATTTTGTCCAGGACAATTATCTGCATGAATAGTTAAATATTTTTCTCCTAATCCATGTAATAAAAAATAATTATGAACTAAAGAAATAACTATATTTGCTCCTTTTCCTGGCATTTCACTTTCTTTAATAAGATAATTTACCTAAAATAATTTAAATAAAATTAATAAATTTTTATAATTTATATTATATAATAAATTTATAATTTACTTGACGAGGAAATGCATCATCACATATTCCAAAAACATGAATTTTATAAAGAGATTTAAAATATATTTCTCCCTAATAAATAATAATTTAAAATAAATTTTAATTAAATAATTAATTAAAAAATAAATAAATAAATAAATAAATAAATAAATAAATAAATAAATAAATAAATAAAGGGTCTAGTAGGAAATCCTGACAAGTAAAATCCTGACAGGCCTAAATCCCGTAATCATAATACTGAAAAGTTATTATCCTGAATGATTATTTAACTGAAAATTAAAATCCCGAAAAAAAAAATCTTGACAATCTATAATCCCGAATTAATAAAATTCCAACAATTATTAATCCTGAAATGGTAAAATCCCGACAGTTAATAATTTTGAAATAATGAAATCATGACAGATAATAACCCTGAATAGGATCCATGCAAAACTCTGATGCTCACAATTCCGATGGTACATAATCCTGACAGACAAAATATTAAAATACTAATTTTAGAATTTTTTATGTCAGAATTTTAGTATTTCAGGATTTTGTCTGTCATCCCTATAATAATGCAGAGTTGGGAGAATAAAAAATTTGCTGTAACAACAGTGTCAAGTGGCACACAAAGTGACAGCCGTTGATGCAGTATAAGTTTTGATATTTTTTTACTAACTTGTCAGTGTGATTTCAGCGGGTGAATTTTGTAATCACAGGTGAATTAGTAAGAAATCTTCGATCGATCATTAGGCCAAACGAAAGTGAGGTAATTAGTAATGCGATCATTGATTAATGTTGTAATTAGTATGAGTCAATGTTCGTTAGTATGTGAGTATGAGGTAATAGCGTAAATATGAGGTAATAATAGATCAGTATATTAGTAAGGGAAAATTAATTGTAGTCAATTTTGTCTTTTCTGCGAACCTGACTTTCGTTCTGGTTATATCGACCCCTCCCACCCTACCCGTGTTAGAGTAATGTGTAGGTGTAACCTGCTGAAACAGCAGTATGGATACGAGAAGATGGAGGAATCTAAAATACTTGTATAGTGAAAACCGCTAAAGTGTGGCCTGTCGGGACGAAGGCACATAGAATTTAAAGGCCTGTCAGACGACAGTCTTAATAGAATTTAGAGGCCTGTCGCGACGACAGTCTTGATAGAATTTAAAGGCCTGTCAGGACGACAGTCTTAATAGAATAGAATAAATAAAAAGAGAGTGTGTTTTGCGCGATTCTATATACTACTGCGCAGGTTGCTCGATAGCAGAAAGGCAAAAACCCGTATGTGTTCTTCATAGTAAGTAGTTCAACAAAATGAGAGACAAAACAAAGATGGTTGCAGCTGCGAAGTCCAAAATCTATCTTACGAAAGTCTTTGTATTGTTACTATATCCGCAGATATACAAAAAAATTTTACACTTTCCAAACTTAACTAATATAAATTTTAAAATTTCACGTTCATTATGTCTAGGGATCATTATAAAGAAGTTCGCTTCAACTATAATTAGATTTTTAAACGAATCTGCATTCATGAACCATATAAATTAGTAATTTGTATGAAGCTATAAAAGATTGTAGAGTTCTGAAATATACTCTAAAATATACTCATGAGTTAAATACCAGTCTGTCAAAATACTGCACACTTTTGTTATAGCAAACTCTTAATATAATAAGAGTCTTGAATTACGGAATTATTAAATTTCAACCGTATATAGTAAAATACATTAGATATAAATTATTGTAATGACTTCATTATAGCATGAGTGAGTTGTAATCTTTTCTTGTGTTTTTATAGACGTGACTACCTTTATTTTTTATCGAATGAAAAAAAATCGTATACAGTTAACTTTCTATAATGAACTGACAATTCTTGTAAAAAATTTTTAAAAATTCCTTATAGAATTAAATTACTATGTTTCTATACCAAACTCTATAATAAATTTGTTGTTAAAAAAAGTTCAGTGTAAAGAAAGTTGACTTTTACATTGATGAAATTCAGAAATTAGAAAGTCAAAATTGGTGGTAGCAGATTTGGTATTTACAGTATTCCTCGAATCATTACTATAAGTAGGGGATGGCTAAAGCAAGAAGCGTTAGAATTACTTTTTGATGCAGTAATGGTGAGTGGTTTATATAAATATCAAGAATATAATTTATGCAGCATGTAATTATTTCCAAGTTTATACTAAACCACCTGGCTTACAAGTAGTGAATTTTTATACATGTACGTACGTACAGTGCGAAAGTATCTTTATACTATTTCGTATCATTTCAAAATATGCAAAATTAATTTCTATATAGTACACTATATATATATATATTCATTTCAAATTCGCTAATTATTATTTGCGCATAATATATAGCATCATGTAATTTATTTGCATTAGCATCTTATACAAAAAGTGTTTTTATCTAATACTTAAGCAAAAATTTTAGTATTTAAAAAATTGTTATAAAGAAAAATTATAAGCAATTCCACGTAAATAATCCAATAGTGTACGATTAGCACGATCATTGACAAGTTCCATAATTCTTTGTTCTTGTTTAATTATTTTTTGATTTTGTTTTGGTTGTGGATCACCACGTATGATCTTTTTAATTTCAAGCTCAACATGCCGTTGTTCTTTTTGAAACTCTTGAATTATTGCATAAACCCCTATATGTAACCGACCAACTAAAGTCTCAAAACGATGGTGCCAAGCCTCCACCTTATTCTGTGTTCTTGGAACACCTAAATGAAGAGAATCATAAACTGACCATAGGTGAGGAGGAAAAAGAGGTTGGTTACAAATAATAGTACCATCTTGTAATTCTCG